GCTTGAGACTTAAGACATCACATCAAGGGCTGGTTAAGGGGACTCTGAATATTGCATTAGAGCACCAAGAAGCCAAAGCTAAAGGAAGAAATCAAGAAATTAAATTGCTTAACAGCAAATTTCAAAAGGCAGCTCAAGATGACAAAGCAAGATACTATATGAAATGTGCAAAGAACTGGAGACAGAAAATCAAAAGGGCTGAACTCACTCAGCATTTCTTAAGGAATTGAAAAACAAATTCAAGCCATGAATAGCAATACTTAAGGACAGAATGTTAAATCATCCAAGAAGCATTAAAAGGAGATATAAAGAGTATACAGAATCACTGTACCAGAAGGAATTGGCTGACACAGAAGAATTTCATGAAACAACATATGAGCAAGAGCCTATGGTGATGAAGGAGAAAGTTGAAGTTGCTCTGTAAGAATTGGCAAAAAACAAGGCTCCAGGAGTTGACAGCATACCAGTTAGCATATTTCAATAAGCAGATGCTGCCCTGAATGTGCTCACTAAGTTGTGCCAAGAAATCTGGAGGACAGCCAGCTGTGCAACTGACTGGAAGAGATTGATATTTGTTCCCATTCCAAATAAAGGTGACCCAACAAAGTGCGCAAATTATCCAACAATATCATTAATATCCCATTCAAGCAAGATTCTGCTGAAAATTATCCAAAAACGACTGGGGCAACACACCAACAGAGAACTGCCAGATGTGCAGGCTGGGTTTAGAAGGGGCTGTGGTACTAGGGCTATTATAGCTAATGTTAGATGGGTCTTTGCAGAAAGCAGAGAGTACCAGAGGAACGTCTACTTGTGCTTCATTGACTATGCAAAAGCTTTTCACTGTGTGGCTCACAATCTGTGGCTGACTGAGAAGAATGAGAATCCCAGAACATTTGATTGTGCTTATGCAAAACCTATACTTGAACCAAGAGGCAGTAGTTGGAACAGAGGAAGGAGACACTGGTTCAAAGTCAGGAAGGGGGTCCCCAGGGATGTATTCTGTCTCCATAACTTTTCAGTCTGTATGCAGAACAGATCATCTGGGATGCTGGGCTGTACGAGGAGGAATGTGGCATCAGGAGTGGCGGAATATTCATCAACAATCTGCGTTATGCAGATGACACTACCTTGCTTGCTGAAACTGAGGAGGACCTGAAGCACTTGCTGGAGAAGATCAAGGACTGGAGCCTTCAGTATAAATTGAAGCTCAACATCAAGAAAACAAAGATTCTCACCACTGGGTGATTAGGTATTATTGTCATGACAGGAATCCAGAATGAAGACTGCCCAGTGCAGTGGTCTTGGGGTGGAGGGATTGCATAGCAATGAAAGAGTTTTTCTTTTACTCATCAAAGAGAAAAGTGAATTGGGGTAGGGGATGGGCAGGGAGAAAAGTGAATTACTGGCAACAATGAATAACTGGAAACCCTACGTCTTTGTATACTTTCATTAAAATTAATTTTAAAAAAGTCCTGACTTGACCCATTTGAGATCAGGTTTTAGACCCATTGTTTCAAAGTCTCCCTGAGTAGTTGTGAAGTTCCAGGTCTGAGAACCATAGAATAAGAATAAAATACCTTACAGATTCTAGAATATTCCATATGAAGTTTCATTTCTAAAGTCTGGAAAATAAAATAAGAAAGACTTTTTTCACCAAAAGCAATATAGATGATGATGTCATCACCACTATAAAAGTGCCCTAAGAAATGGGTCCATATAATAGCAGACAGAATTTGCATTCAAGGAAGAGGAATTTCTTGGCTATAAGGATTCTTAAACACTGGGATGGGTTTTATTAACATGATTATGAAATATTCTCCTGCTTGGCTCCATGGTCAACACTCTTGGCACCAGTAGCCAGGAAATAAAAAATGTATTGCTATGGGAAACTCTGATGTTAGGGACCTCTCCAGGGTACTGAAGAGCAATGGTGTCACTCTGGAGACTAAGGTGCATCTGATACAGGCTATATGGTCTTTGCAATCACTTGTTATGCATCAGAGAGTTGGACAATGACTAGGGAGGATAGAAGGAGAATTGATGCCTTTGAGCTGTGGTGCTGGAGAAGAGTATTGAATGTACCATGGACTGCTAGGAAAACAAACAGATTCATCCTGGAGAGGGTTCAACCAGGATACTCCTTGGAGGCAAGGATTCTGGGGCTTTGTCTGACATACTTTGGACATGTTATAAGGAGGGAGAGGTCCTTGGAGAGGGACATCATGCTTGGTAGGGTGGAGGGACAGCGCAGGAGGGGAAGATCCTCTATGAGGTGGATTGATTCAGTGACTGGGGTAATCGGGATGGGAGTGTCAGAGGCAGTGCGATTCGCACAGGACAGAGCAGAGTTTAGGGCTGTTGTACATAGGGTCGCTATGAGTCGCAAGCAACTTAATGGCACATAACAACAACAGAGATTTTTTAAAACGAGGATGGTTTCTCATCTGTCTGGAATGATGATGGGAAATGGTATGTTTAGATTTATCCGGCAGCATCTGATTTACCCAGTTAATCTAATCTAGACCTACCTTCCCCTTAAGTAGGTCGGACAACTATCATGGAAGCTTCCCTCATCATTAGACTGCTAATAAAACAGAACCAGCAAGGGAAGGATAGATGAACTATTAATGCACTAATAAGAAGAACTCAGTTTGACTAGATGGAAGATCCAGTCTCTTGAGCTGTTTGTTTTTGTCTTCTTTATAAGAAAACCAACCGAAACCCAGCCCACTGGTCCCAAGTCCATTGTGACCCCTGCATCATCGAGTAGAATGGAACAGAACTGCTCTGGCGGGGTTTTGATTTGGGAAGGTTTTTTGGGGGGGCTGTGGTCTTTATGGAAAGGACCCCTGTTGTGCAGGGGCTACTAACTGAAAGGTCATCTCTTAGGGAGAAAGATAAGGCCTCCAGCACCTAAAAAGATTTAAAGCCTCCCAAACTCCGGGGCAGCTCTCCTCTGTGCTCTAGGGCCCCCTCGAGCCAGAATGGCGTCCAGGACAGTGGCTGTAGGCATCCTTTATGGAAGCAGATGGTCAGCCCGTCTATGGTGCTGCTCGCCGGATCGAACTGCCAACGGGGAGTCTGCGTCTTGTTTACTAGTCACTGAATCCTGTGCGGATGACATAAGAGGCACCAGCTTTTGTCTGAGCACTTGTCCCAGTGAAACTAAGTCTCCAATAAAGAAAAACAAGGGGGGCAACCCGGAGACCCGAGAATTAACTTTCTGTAGCTCTGATTTTGAGGTATGACTGGACTGAGAGATCACGGCAAAATCTGCTGAGAAGGGAAGATCTTGAAGCCAAGAGGGGGCAGGACGGAGGAAGGAAGCCTCTGAACAAATACAGATATGAACAGCGGCCTGAGAGAGTGGCCTCCAGCCTGGGTGTGAAATGGGGCGCTGACCGCTGGCCTGGGCAGGGCGGGGACCCTGACGCGAACTCCCCCGGGCCCAGCCTGCGGTCTGTTACTGCTTCTCTCACATATGGCAGCAACCGCAGATTTGTATCTCATCACAGTGTTTGTGCGTCTGAAAACCTGGTCCCCGGAGGCCCTTGCACTTGTGCAGATGGAGGCCAAGGTGAGGGACGGAGCGCTGCAGAAATCCTCGGCGGCTGCCTCCTGGGAGTCAGGTGACTTGGATTAAAGCTTTCCACCACTTGGCTGGGCACCAGCTTCTTCGCATCTCCAGCCTCGGTTTCTTTATTTAGAATAGAATCAGCATCAGATTGGACTTGACGGCAATGGGTTTGCACTCATCCTATGGGGGCGTCTAGGCTGTGGTATTTACAGAAGTAGACAGCTCAGTTTTTCTCAAATGGAGCCACTGGGTGAATTCCGACCTCCAACACCCGGGGCACAGAGCAAACCAATGTCCGTCCGTCCCTGTCCCCGTCCCGTCCCCCTCCCCCCCCTCTCCCCGTCTTCAGGGAGCCTTCTAGCCTCCTGCTTCTGCTTCAGTCCTTCAGAGTTTCCTTTCACTGCCCCCCTGTGCCCCATTCCCTCCTCCTCTCACACTTCAGATCTGTTCCTGCCTTTCTCCCTGGCACTTTTCTCCCTCCCCATCTGTGTCACTTGTCAAGGTGACTGCCACTGAGAACAAGCCGGCTGTGCTCTGCGGGGGCAGGTGCCCGCTGGTGTCCCTCAGACATGACACGGGAGATGGATCTCCTGTCTCCAGATTAGTGACATGTCATTAACTGAGATGCTCTCTTCCAGCATAGAAGGATGGGTGTGGGACACCTGCCAATTCCAGGGACGCACTTGGGGCCATGGCTCTGAGCACAAGCAGTCCGACTGCAGAGAGCCCTCGGGTCGGTCTGGGGCTCAGGGAGGAATCCCACTGGGACGCTTTCCTTGACACCCCAGGATGAGATGTTTCCTCCCTTAGAGCCAGCTCGCTGGGCCTTTTCTGGGTTTAGCACTGAAAGATCCATGTCCTGGGGAAACCCTGGTAGACCAGCATTACTGGGTCCCCTAGAATGGCATCTGTCCCATCTCTACTGAGCTCTCTCAACAACTGGGCACAGACAGGACAAAGCTCAGAGAGAGACCAACGCGAAGAGATTAGAGGACTCCGGCTGGGTCATTTAATCCAGGTCAGAAAGAACTCTGTGTTGTGTGTGTTAGAGTGTTTGTATGAGTGTGTAGGTGTGAGTATGTGTGTTGTATATGTGTATGTATGTGTGTGAGTGTGCATGAGAATGTGTGTGTGTGAGGACGTGTGTGTGACCATGTATGTGTGAAAGTGTTAGCGTGTGTGTACATGTGAGCATGTGTGTGAGTGTATATATGAGCAGGTGTGTATGCGTGTGTGACTGTGAGTGTGTATGTGCGTGAGTGAGTGAGCATGTATGCAGGGAGTGTGTGTGTGTGTGTGTGTGTGTAGTTGAGGGCCTATTTTGGTAACAACATCACATGGCTTCACAGGGACGTGCACCTAAGAGCCCCCAGCTGCTGCCCATCTCTGCCCAAGCTGAGAGCGGGAGGAAATGGGCGTGATGGACGCAGGCTGCACGCACTACAAAGCCGAATTTCCTGACAGTGAGTATTCTTAGACACCAGAAGAAGTTTCAGAGATAGATTAGACATTTTCCTCTGTCTCCAATGTAGCAAATTCCAGAGGGCTTGAAGACATTAGGTGTGGCCTGGTGAGTTGAGGGGATGGACCGATGTCTGATATCCGAGGCCTCTTCCAAACCACACCCTTCCATTCACCTTGGCCTCCAGCCTGAATTCCTCTTTTGCCCGAAGGTCAATGTCATGGTGAGCAGGACAAAGTATTCTCTGACTTCAGCCTCCTGGAAGGTCAGCCAGGGTTCCGCAGAGCCCGAGTGGGAGGAAGGGTTATCATGCTGTGTATTGTTTTCTCTGAGGGGTGTTTTATTTATAAGAGGTTATTTACTGGTCAAACATTTCAGGGCAGCAAAGTTGGACTTAAAACAGGGAGCAAAGCCCCCCAGAACCTGCTCCAGGTGAAAGGCGATGTAAAACAAACTAAAAAACCCAACAGCTCTAACTAATCGAGTTCTTTCCAATTGTTCTCATCTGCTTGGTTTCATGGACTTGTCACATTCTGCAAAATCAAACGAAGCCATCTAGTGAGAGGTGAGAAAATCGATAGGACTTTGTGGTTGATTCCTGCTGGGAGGACGTTACAGCAATTACCTGCTCAGGAGAGGTTTTGACCTCCCAGGTGCTCTGCAGGAAGATGTGGCAGTCTGCTTCCGAAAATATTCACGACCTTGGACATCTTGTGGGGCAGTTCTACTCTGTCCTGTGGTGCTATGAGTTGGGGGTCAACTCCACACCAGTAGGTTTGAGAGATCTGTGTGCAAGTGTGATAGTGGATTCTTGTTTTAGGACTTTCTTTCCCATTATGTAAGTAGTTTCAAGTGTTTGAAATTGCATGGTGCCCTCAACTATGAGATCTTCCATAGATGTTGATTTGATATTTAAAGTCACAGTTGTTTAGGGAGCAGCGCAGCGATGAATGAGAGCATCTGTAGGTCAGTCCCTAGATGTGCGTGAGAAGATTGCAGCCTCTAGTGTCAGACCTCAGCAGGCTCTTTGTCTAAGAAAAGGAATTCTCTTGGCCTGGTGTTCCCTTGTCGTTATGTACCATTGAGTCAGAACCAACCTTTAACTAATCCTCCAGTGGGGTTTCAAAGGCAATAAATCACAAGGGAGACGATTGCTCATCATTCTCTCATGGAGCAGCTGGTGTCTTTGAACTGTGTACCTTTAGATTGGACCTGTAATTCCTTACTACTAAGCCGCCAGAGCTCCCTGGTGTCCTGTTGAGCAAATATTTAACAGCAATAGGAGTTGTTGTTAGTTGCAACCGAGTTGACTCCGACTCACGAAGAATTGATCAGAACCCTGCCCTCTCCTGCGTCCTCCTCAGGACTTCCACCCTCTCGGCTTCCCTGTTGTCACTGCATCAGCCCACCTCACCGAAAGCCTTCCTATCCTTTGGCTGACCTTCCACTTGTCCAAGCAAATCTTTTACCAAGGACAGACGCACCCTGACAACATGCTCAAAGTATGTGAGCCTGAGTTTCACTGCCCTTGCCTCCGAGGAGCACCCCGTTTGCATTTCTTCGCAGACCTGTTTGGTTTTCTGACAGCCCGTGATGTTTAGTCAATACTCTTTGCCCATGCCACAATTCAAAGATGTCTGTTCTTCTTTGGCCTTCCCTATTCGTTGTCCAACTTTCACAAACATATGTTGTTGTTGTTGTTACTGTTGTGTGCCATTGAGTCAGACCCGACCCATAGCTGACCCTCCAGCAGGTTTTCAGAGGCAATTAATTGCACAGGAGGAGATGGATGTTGGTCTTTAAAATGACACCCTTATAATAGTCAAAATGCAAACTCATTGCTGTCGAGTTGGAACCAACTCCCAGCTGAACTCTCTGATGGGTTTTTAGAGACTGTAATGTGATTCACGTGGGAAGAGGTTATCCATCTCTTCCTCAGCGTCACTCCACCAGAGTCAAGCCACCAGGGAAATGCCACCTCTGAATTGTTGTTCGTTGCCAGCAGGTTGGCTTTGACTTGGAAACTCTCTGTGTAACACGACACAGCAAAGCCTCGGCCTGTGCTCTCTTCATCACCCTTGCTCTACTTGAGTCCAGTCTCTGAGTCACTGAGTATGTTGAGTGCCTTCCCCCCAGACAGGCTCACCACCTAGCATCACATCAGACAACAGTCTGCTACATCCTATAAGGTTATTGTTGGGCCTTTTCAGAAGCAGATCACCAAGCCTTTCTTCCAACTAGCCTATCATAGCGTGGGAACTACTGAAGCCTGCCCACCATGGATGCTGCGGCTGGTATTCGAAAAGCCAATGCCATCACTTCCTTCTAGCACCACAGCAACATTCAAGCCATCCTAGAAAGCTATTTCATATGAACTCAATGTGAGTTCAGCTTTCAATATGGATTGCCTACATTAAGAAAATAAAACTTCTCACCACTGGACCTATAGGTAACGTCATGATAGATGGAAAAAAGATTGAAACTGTCAACAAATCCATCTTACTTGGATCCAAAATCAATATACTTGTTATCAACAGTCAGGAGATCAGGAGATGTATTGTACAGGAAAGGTCTGCAGTCAGGGGCCTCTCCAAATTACTGAAGAACAATGATGTTAGTTTGAGTACTAAGGTGTGGCTTATTCAGAAGATGGTCTTTTCAACCATTTGCTATTCTACAGAGAGCTGGACAATGAATAAGGATGACAAGAATTGATGCCTTTGAATTGTGGTGTTGGAGAAGAGTCCTAAGTATCCCACGGACAGCTAACGAACAAATAAATATGTCTTGGAGATGGTTTAGCCAGAGTGCTCCTTGGAGGAAAAGAGAATTCAACTTTTTCCCACATACTTTGGCCATGTTGCTAGGAAGGGCTATTAATTGGACAAGGACATCATTTGGGGGAAAGTGGTGGGATGGCAAAAGAGAGGAAGACCCCCAACCAGGTGGATTGACATAGTGATGAAGCAATGAGCTCAACTGTGTCAGAGATTGTGAGGACAGCACAGGCTAGGACAGGGTTCAGATCTGTTGTTCAGAGCGTTGCTATAAGTCATGCTCAATTTGGTAGTATCTACCAACAACAGTGAAAGTTATTAGATTTCTTTAGTAATATCTGTTAATAGACAAGAAGACGCTCTCAAGGCCTAGTCTGTAAGGGGTTGTACAAAAGGCTGCATCTCCAGTGGTTTGAGTCCACTAGCTTCTCTGAGGGAAAAAACCCCAAAATGTACAGTCTCCTTCCATCAAACTTTACAGCCTCAGAATCCCAGGGGAGAGCTGTGAGCTGGAATCTTCCGCGTGGCAGTATCGTTTGTTTGAGCTGTTTGTCATGGTAGTGATAGCTGTCACAAGTCCCCAAGGCGAAGAGATTGCACTGCATCTGCCTGCCATTAGACACTTGAAAAAGGCTTCTCACTTTTGCTTCTTTTATTTTAACTTGGGTTTTCCACATCATTATTAGTGAAACAAACGTCTTCACAACATCAGATACATTTGTAAGTCACCGGGTGGCCCAAATGATTAATGCGTTCAGCTGCTCACTGACGGGTTGGAAGTGAGTCCATGTGTCAGTGCCTCAGGAAGAAGGCCTGGAGATCTACTTCTCCTAACTCAGCCGTCAAAGATCCTAGGGCACGCGGTCCGCTTTGATGCTTATGGAGTCACAGTGGGTCGGGTCTGCTCATGGCAACTTGGTCTTATCTTCATTTCTTTTTTGTAATATTTATAAAACCATTCTCCTGATTGTGTTTTTAATCCCATTATTGTCCACTTCCAATCGTACTGTCTTCCCATAGGCCTCCATTCTCAGATTTTCACGTGTGTTCTTCAATTCACCCTCCATACCTTCGTGTATGTGCGTGTACACACATGTCCAACTGCACTGCCATCGTAGGTCATAGCCAACCCTCCAGGGGTTTTTAGAGGCTGTAAAGCACCCTGGAGGAGATTGCCTAACTTTCTCCTTTCGAGCTGCTGGTGCCGGAGAAGTGCTTCATTTGGAATTGTGGTGTTGGAGAACAGTACTTAGCTTATGTCAGAAGAACAAACAAGTCTGTCTTAGACGAGGTGTAACCAGGACCCTTTTTAGATGCATAGATGGTGAAACTTCGTCCCACATAATTTATGCATGTTGTCAGGAGAGGCTGATACTTGGAGAAAGACATCATGCTGGGAAAGAAGAAAGGTCAGAGGAGGAGAGGACAACTGGCTGGAGCTGGATGGTGACAGTCACCTCACACCCCTGCTGGGGAGCTCAGCTGCCTGGCAGGCCTCTCATTCCAGTGTTCTCTAACCTTCCAGGAAGCTGGTCCTGGCATCCCCACCTGGTGGTCTTGGGTTTCCTCTAGTAAGAGAATGTGTGCTCTAGTGTCCAAATGCTCTGGAAACCTCAGATCATCTTATTTCTTAAAAATACAAAACAAAACAATCCTTCACTGCATCTCAGTAAGCAAGATGAATGATGTCACCTCCAACTGACAAACAAATACTAATACTTAAATAACCATTAGTATAGATAGATGGCCAAAGAAAGTCAAAGACCAAATCTAGATCCAAAGGTGGGGGTGGGGGTGGAAGAAAGATTCCACCTCCTGATGGGAAAGGCTGTCTCTGTCCCCACCCCAGTCCACTCCAAATCCCTAAAGCTATATCCTTTGATTCGTTTACAGTCTTAAAGCTATTTGGATTTTATTTCTTTATATTATGATATAACCTAAATCTATTTTTATCCTCAGAGTATACCACACTTTTCAATATCTATTATTAAATAATGTACCTTCTTCTGCCTGACTTTAAATGCCTGTTCTGTCATATACCAATTCTCCCTCTATACGAGGGTCCGTTCAGTTCGTCTTATTCTGACTGTAGACTGTTGGTGTCGTCTAACGGCTAAGCTTTCTAGCATGTTTCACAACTGGACACTGCTCGTGCTCCTCTGCTTGTCTTTCTCAGAATTCCCTTGGCTACTTGTGAACTCTGACTCTTCTTTACACATTTTAG